CTATCATGTCACCCTAGTTCTCTTTTGCATCAAACTAGACATACCCAATTCCTGCAACTGTTCCTCATATGTTTTAACCTCCAGACCCCTAATTATTTTTATTGCTCTTCTCTGCACTCTTTCTAGAGTCTCCACATCTTTTTTACATCGTGGTGACCAAAACTGAATGCAGTATTCCAAGTGTGGCCTTACCAAGGCATTATAAAATGGTCTTTTGTTATAATCTTTTGTTATAATCAATTTCAAAGTCTTTTGTTATAATCAATTTCAATAAATATAGTTTTAGGCTTTCTAAAGCCTTCTTTTCTGGTCCATCTAGTGGGCCTGATAATTCAGCATTTTGCCCAAAATTCAATCCAATTTCTGATGTTCTGAATACACCCCTAGGGTTGCTTTATATTCGGCACAGATGGAAGCAGAATGGGGACATAGGACAAAAAGTGCCTTTTTTCTTCTTTTTCCTCCATACCTGAAAAAAAATATGATTTCAGTACTTTAAGTCTCATTTGCCTTTTCAGGATATTTCCTGCACAACCTTTCCACTGTTAATAGTAATAGCTGCTAATAGCCCTTTCTTATAAAAGGCCTGGATCAGCTCCATGCTAAACATAATTCCAGCAGCTCTGGTGGATGTCAAATAGAGCTATTATTTTAGAATTGATTATTTTGAGCGCCACGAATCATAAAAGAACTCCTCCCATGAGGTTACATAGGTTGGTAAGTGCACATCTAATTCTCCATTCAGGGAACTTCTGCACAGCCAGCAGATGGACAATTCAGTGCAAGGAGGGAAATGAAAATAGTCAACCTTCTCAAGACATTTATGGAAGGAAGGAAAATGCATTTGTACTCAAAGTATATACTTGAACCTATACATTTACCTACATATTTTTGGGGTACTTTCAGGTTCCTTGCTCCACATGGGTCCCACAAATGATGATACTTATTGTGCAGTTGAGGAACAAATGAGGATCTTTTGGAATACTAATTTTGTTTATAACGTGGCTAGATTAAAGCCTTCAGGAGGTCTAGCTGCTAATGCCGATATATAGGAAATTCAAGATTGTAATACAGAATTAGGATAGGATAGGATAGGATAGGATAGGATAGGATAGGATAGGAAAGGATATAGAGTTTTAGAGTTTAGAGTTTTATTTCATTTGTATGCCGCCCTTTTCCCTGAAGGGACTCAGGGCGGCTCACA